ACAGCCGACCCCTCTCACCTGCACATGGACTATTCCAACCACTCCCCTCTCACCTGCACATGGACTATTCCAACCACTCCCCTCTCACCTGCACATGGACTATTCCAACCACTCCCCTCTCACCTGCACATGGACTATTCCAACCACTCCCCTCTCACCTGCACATGGACTATTCCAACCACTCCCCTCTCACCTGCACATGGACTATTCCAACCACTCCCCTCTCACCTGCACATGGACTATTCCAACCACTCCCCTCTCACCTGCACATGGACTATTCCAACCACTCCCCTCTCACCTGCACATGGACTATTCCAACCACTCCCCTCTCACCTGCACATGGACTATTCCAACCACTCCCCTCTCACCTGCACATGGACTATTCCATCCACTCCCCTCAGGCAGGAGGCTGCGGCCCATCAGGACTAGAACCTCCCGCCACAAGAACAGTTTCTTCCCCTCTGCTGTTGGACTCTTGAACACTTCTTAACCTGTCCCCCCGCCCTTTATAAAGTCACTTTACTGCCCATCATACGTCACTTTACTTCACTGTACTGCTGTCACCTTACATTGTGTGCACCATGTGCACTTGGATATTGTAAATAGTAACTGTAACTCTATTTTAAATTTAAATATATTCCTTAGAAGTGTTTTTTATTCTTTATTTTTATTATCTCTTTTTGACTGTTGCACTGAGCCAAAGCAATTTCCAAGTCTGTGACTTCCTGTTACTTATGTGGCAATAAAAATGATTCTGATTCTGATGTAACCAAGAACCCAGAAAAGCGAAGTTGCTCCATGGTTAGAAGTGGATGCTGATATATTGTCAGTCAATGTCAAGTTTATTTCTATAGCACATTTACAACAACAATTGCTGCCCAAAGCGCTGCACAGTGTAATACGTCAAATAAAAAAAATAAAAAATGAATGCTAATATTTGTATGGCCAGGTTCTTTAAACACAGAACACACATGTCTTTGTGGATGGCTCCTTCTGTTAAAGGTCGAGGTGACAATTTGCCCCAGAACCTTTGATTTGGTAAAACGTGAGAGAATATAATTTTTCACGCTGTAGAAATGATTATTATGGGAACACGGTGCACCTTTCATTACTATTCTGCTGATTTATTGAATTGTCAAGTGGTTGTATGAATTATAAATGTGTTTTTTCTGTTTAATATAATTCTTGTTTCTAAAGTGAAAACATCACACAATCCTCCTGGTTCATTCCCAGGCGGTCGAGGACACCTGACGTTAGAAACTACTGAAGGTTGAAACAGTCGTAGTGCTGCCCTAAATCAAACTGGAGTGTAGACAGTGCAGAGAATAATGGGCCGAGGATTCAACTTCTGCCAAATGTATTCAATTAAAAGCTGAGGGTGTTTTATTCAGCGATTTGGACGCGAGGACAAAAGCGTTAAAGTTTATTAAATACAGCAGAGTCCGAGGAGGTGAAGAGACGAAGGGGCAACTTTTGTCTCATGAACGGTAAGTATTACAACAAAGCAGCAACAAATGATTCAGACCTGTTTAAGCCTGCTTTAGACATGGTTTAGTCCTGATTAAGTCATGGTTTAGTCCTGATTAAGACATGGTTTAGTCCTGATTAAGTCATGGTTTAGTCCTGATTAAGACATGGTTTAGTCCTGATTAAGTCATGGTTTAGTCCTGATTAAGACATGGTTTAGTCCTGATAAAGACATGGTTTAGTCCTGATTAAGACATGGTTTAGTCCTGATTAAGTCATGGTTTAGTCCTGATTAAGACATGGTTTAGTCCTGATTAAGTCATGGTTTAGTCCTGATTAAGACATGGTTTAGTCCTGATAAAGACATGGTTTAGTCCTGATTAAGACATGGTTTAGTCCTGATTAAGACATGGTTTAGTCCTGATTAAGTCATGGTTTAGTCCTGATTAAGACATGGTTTAGTCCTGATTAAGTCATGGTTTAGTCCTGATTAAGACATGGTTTAGTCCTGATTAAGTCATGGTTTAGTCCTGATTAAGACATGGTTTAGTCCTGATTAAGTCATGGTTTAGTCCTGATTAAGACATGGTTTAGTCCTGATAAAGACATGGTTTAGTCCTGATTAAGACATGGTTTAGTCCTGATTAAGACATGGTTTAGTCCTGATTAAGTCATGGTTTAGTCCTGATTAAGACATGGTTTAGTCCTGATTAAGTCATGGTTTAGTCCTGATTAAGACATGGTTTAGTCCTGATTAAGTCATGGTTTAGTCCTGATTAAGACATGGTTTAGTCCTGATAAAGACATGGTTTAGTCCTGATTAAGACATGGTTTAGTCCTGATTAAGACATGGTTTAGTCCTGATTGAGACATGTTTTAGTCCTGATTAAGACATGGTTTAGTCCTGATTGAGACATGTTTTAGTCCTGATTAAGACATGGTTTAGTCCTGATTGAGACATGTTTTAGTCCTGATTAAGACATGGTTTAGTCCTGATTGAGACATGGTTTAGTCCTGTTTTAGTCCTGATTAAGACATGGTTTAGTCCTGATTAAGACATGGTTTAGTCCTGATTAAGACATGGTTTAGTCCTGATTAAGACATGGTTTAGTCCTGATTAAGACATGGTTTAGTCCTGATTGAGACATGTTTTAGTCCTGATTAAGACATGGTTTAGTCCTGATTGAGACATGTTTTAGTCCTGATTGAGACATGTTTTAGTCCTGATTGAGACATGGTTTAGTCCTGATTGAGACATGGTTTAGTCCTGTTTTAGTCCTGATTAAGACACGGTTTAGTCCTGATTAAGACATGTTTTAGTCCTGATTGAGACATGTTTTAGTCCTGATTAAGACATGGTTTAGTCCTGATTGAGACATGTTTTAGTCCTGATTGAGACACGGTTTAGACCTGGTTTTGTTTTGATTTAGACCAAGTTTGGTCTTGATTTAGACCTGGCTTGTCTTGGTTTAGATCTGGTTTAGTCCTAATTTAGTCCTGACCTGGTATTGTCCTCCTTTGACCTAATATAAACCATTTTCAAACCACGTTTTTGTGGGAGGGAAACCCGAAGCACCTGGAGGAAAACTACAGCAAGAAGTGGAAAACGTGCAAACTCACATTTCTGAGTTGGGGGCGGGGCTTCAGGCAAAGAGGGGTGAAGTACAGTATCTTGCCCAGCCCACAGGGGGAACAGACAGATTCGGTCTCGTGGAGGGATCGAACCCACAACCCGAGGGCCCAAAGTCCGATCCTCTTCCATCTGAGCCACTGCCGTCCCGACGTCCAGAACTTTCTCATTATTCAAACTTCAAATCAAAAGCAATACATTTTCTCGTCTCTTTGTGGTTTGTCTCAGATCTGGCCTTGTCGACAAACGATTCGAAACCCAACACACTCCGGGCAGCGGCGTCTCCACAGATTCACAGGTACATCGAAAATTAACAAATTAGCTTCAAACAAATGTCCACTCTCTCCGTCTCTCTCCAAGGTGAAACTCATTTGGATTCTTTGTAAAAGTTAAGTTCACAAATTAAAAATCTCTAATATTGAGCGATTCTGAGGAGCAGCTGCACGATGGAACAAACTTGTCACAACAAAAGAGAAGGAAAAGAGGGAAGGATGAAGGTTACTCTCCAGTTACTTTTTCTTTTTAAGGCACAAATAAGATTTCAAAAAATAAAAATATACAAGCTCGAAAAGTATTCTGAAGAATTTGTCCTTCAATAAGTTTATGATTGGAGAAGTAAAGGCCATGTCCGACTTTAGCCATTCGGAAAATGTTTGGCCATGTTTTTTGTTGGTGAATGTAAGAACATTTTACCAGAGCAGAGGTTACTGTTAATCTAAGATAAATAAGAAAAAACTCACTGAAAATACCTTGGACAGCGCCTTCTCCAGGGTTTGTTAGTCTGTGTGTTTGTTTGCGAGACTCAAAACGTGTGGATTTCAACCATGGATCTATAATAATAACTGTATAGAGTATCTTAAAGCTGTCCCACCCATGGCCACAGGGGGCGCTGTGGTACTGCAGACTAAATTCACGAGGGCTACCCAGAAAAAAGTCCCATAGAACTCAATATAAACTAAAACAGCTCGACCTCAGCTGACAGAGAACCTGACAGAGAACATACAGCTTTCATAAAGATAGCATTTTGTGGGGATTTTAGTGTCCCTTCTCTTCCTGAACTTTTATTCTTCTTAAATCCTTCGGTTTTACTTTACTTTACTGCCACAAACTCTGCTCGTTTCCTTCCCGCTCTGACTCAGCTCTGATCAAATATATCAAATATCGGTTCCGCTAATCAAGTCCCGTGCACTACTGAGCACCAGCCATTCATTTAAATAGGGCGCCATCTTGGATCACTGGGGCTTGATTTCAACGCCATCACCGTCTGAATCCAGGAAATCATGTAGGAACATCTTACCTTCTCTGTTCCAAGAAACTATAAATAAGTCGGAAGTAGATCATCTTCTCACAAGGCTCCATTGGATTGGAATAAGTCACCCACAGACATAAGATCCTCAACCTCCTTTGACTTGTAAGAAATATAAAATTTGTAAAACACAAAACAACAACTACTTCAGAGCGATTCAGGACTTGATGCCGTTTTCCAGCTCATTCAGAAGATGTGACACATGCTCCAAGCCTAATGTCTGTATCCATGTGTTCAACTTAAAAACTGGTCTGGTATTCCATGATTCATTGATTCTGTGACTTTGCTCCTTGTCCAGTCTACATCTTACGGGCCAACAACATATGAGCAGTTTGGATTAGGGTCTCGACACATGACTTCAATTCCCACAATAATGGTTTTCCTCGATTGTCCTTTTTTCTCGGAACACTCTTTGATGGTCCTGCTTTTCTTTCGCGAGGCCTGAGACATTTATTGACGTCTTATGGCAGCCGGATTGTGAACTGTAAGCTTCTCCCTGAGTATCGATCGTCACTAGAAGCCTTCGGAGAACACAGAGATCAGGCAGTGACCAGTCATTTAACGCCAATTTATAGTGTCCCTCTTTGTCTGACGGACATGTCAGGGATCTCATGGTGCTGGAGGGTTGGGCCGGAGCTGTCAGCCTGTCACGGGAAGGAAAGCGGATTAAAACATGGAGTACCAGGGGTGGATTTATGGAGGAAATCATGTCAGTTGAACGGTACGTCTGGCATTTAGGAGGCAGGTGATTGCATGGTGGTATTTACAGACTTCTGCTGCCTTTAGGATTTTGAAGGAGGGGATGGAAAGAACACACTTGTCATAAACAGAGGAAACGCTTCCCACAAAATGAAAAAACAGAAGAGTTGATTCAGTTGTAGTGGGGATCAGTAACCTTGAGATTATTGCTTGAATGCCACAATTGGCTTTTGTTGATTCATGTTGGGATATTGCCTTGTTGTGGAGGGCTAGACCCACCTGCACGTCGCCTGGCCTTAGCCATCCGTAAACTCTGATTATTTATAATTTCCCTGCATTTACTGTCAGTCCCAGTCTAGTCTAGTCCCAGTTTCTTCAAATACATCGGTTGAATCCCAACCAACCAATCAGCGAGCGGGGGAGGCGGGTGTAGTAGGTAGTTGTGGGTGACATCAAGAGTTTGCGCCGAATTGGCAGGTTGTAGTTTGGCAACAGCGGAGAATACAATATTTAAGTAATCTGTTATGGTTCTATCAAGAAACTGAAGCCGGAGCAAGAGGAATGTTTAGTAAATGTCATTGAAGCAAAGATGTTGTGGCTCTACTCCCCACGGGCTCCGTTAGTGGCAGAGGAGATGGCTAAAGCTAGGCTAAATGCTAAAGCTAGGCTAAATGCTAAAAGCCTCACTCACTCGGGCTCATTACATACGTCACAGTAAACTCAGATCCAATCGTTTCAATCTGCAAAAGGAGTTAGCCCCTCCCACCTGTTAACGGAGTCAATGGAGCAAATCCAGACCTTAGTACCAAATGTAATGAGTACCATGGTGCGGTAAGACCAGGCTAACTTGCACGTGTCAATTTTAATTTAGCAAAAATCTTCTTAAATATCAAACTGTAATGAATGTTTTTCCTCCTGCCCAATGAGGAGGTTACCGGCTGAGACCCTGAAAGTCCTCATCCATTATTCTGGCGTATTTCTGCTTTCAAAAAGATGACTGCTGTAGTTTTTAAATCTGTTTTATTCCTTCTTAAAAGTCTCCGTGTTTATGGGACACTGGGCCAAGCCTCCCTCCCGCACCCTCTTCCACAACAGTGCAAGTCAGTCCAAAATCAATACTTCCAAGTGCTAAAATAACGAGCAAACGATAGAAAATAATGCGTTTTTGCTGCTTTGTGTGTCTCTTACTGTGAGATAAGACCTTGGCTTAGGGACAAGCAGAAGCGGCTTACCTCAAATGCAATAAAAAAGCCACGATTGTGCGTAGTTAACAAAGCTCCCGAGGCTGATGTTCGAATTTTCAACAATAGCGACGGCAAATCACGCTTGTTTGTACGTTGTCCCACAAATGCCATCGGGAGTTCCCAAATATTGTGAAAGATAGTGCATTACTGCCTGTTAATGACTCCACCAAGGTGCTTTTAGCTGAAGTACAAAGGCAAGGACCAAAAAATGACGGCTTCTTTGAAAAACAAAAAAAAAAGTCTTTCTTTCTCAATGCATTGGGTTCAAATCTGGGGCAGGGACTTGAATGGATAAGACCTGGTTTTGGTTCTTTAGCGAGTTATCCTATTATCAAAAAGCCAAACGAGCGCTTGTGTTGCCAGTTCCGACGGCAAAACAAGCTGTTCTCGTTCCTGGCACCGGTCCACCATCATACATTCTTCAGTCCAAAATAGCTTGGCTTATAGACTTCTCAGTCATATCCAGAGTTTTGCCAGAAAAGTCCATGGTGCTGTCAAAAGTCTTGTCAAAAGACGGATGTTGTGAATTAAACATGAAAATACAGCATTGTAACTTTCTACTTTTCTTAAATACTGGTTTTCCCGATACAACATGGACACTCTGATCACATCCCACTTCCTGATTGGACAAAATCCTTTCAAATATGTGATGGGTTAAAGTTGTTTTTATTTTTTAAAGTAGATTTTGCATCTTCCGAATGTCTACTGAATACTACTTTATCTAGTTATAATCCTGCACTAACTTTGCACTATATATACATTTTTTTGGACATTTCTTAGCTGGCATTGACAGCTAGCTAAGAAACATAGCAGCTACTTACTTGTTCTGTATATTGTGTGTGCTCCCTGTGTAAGTAAGTAAGTTTATTTATATACCGCCTTTCACAGACCAGAGTCACAAAGCGGTTTATAATTGTTATTTTTGGGCATTAGTCTCTCACTCCTCACAGAGATGGGAGCGGGGCCAGTACAGGAGGCACAGACCTATTGTGCATGTTTTTAGTGTTAGGGGAAACCGGAGCACCTGGAGGAAACCTACGCAGACACGGGGAGAACATGCAAACTCCACTCAGAAAGGCCCTGGGTCCCGGGATTCGAACCCAGGACCTTCTTGCTGAGAAGCGAGAGTGCTATCCACTCAGCCACCGTGCCGCCCATAATTAATTATAATACAATTAAAATAAAAAAATAAAAAAGATAAATCTATATTTTCTTTATCTTCTTTATCCTTCTTCTTTATCCTTGTTAAAAACAGTCTCTGAACATTCTATCGAGTCTTACTACTGTCCTGTCTGTGCGCTGCAACACTGGAATTTTCTCACTGTGGGACGAATAAAGGATCTCTTCTCTGATATAGTCCTCTGTAACACACAATACTAGTATAATCCTACAGATTTGGTTTTGAACATTGTCAGAGTAGAAGCCTGTAAATCTGAAATGGGTCGTCCTGACTCTGGGACCAGCAGGAGGCCAGTCCCTGTGCTCCTCAGAGTCCCAGCAGGAGGCCAGTCCCTGTGCTCCTCAGAGTCCCAGTAGGAGGCCAGTCCCTGTGCTCCTCAGAGTCCCAGCAGGAGGCCAGTCCCTGTGCTCCTCAGAGTCCCAGCAGGAGGCCAGTCCCTGTGCTCCTCAGAGTCCCAGCAGGAGGCCAGTCCCTGTGCTCCTCAGAGTCCCAGCAGGAGTCCAGTCCCTGTGCTCCTCAGAGTCCCAGCAGGAGGCCAGTCCCTGTGCTCCTCAGAGTCCCAGCAGGAGGCCAGTCCCTGTGCTCCTCAGAGTCCCAGCAGGAGGCCAGTCCCTGTGCTCCTCAGAGTCCCAGTTGGTTCATGTGGCACTGACAGCACTTCCCTTTGCCACCTCTGGAATCTCTTCACGAGCTGCACAGTGGCTGAGTGGTTAGCAGTCTCGCTTCTCAGCAATTGAAGGTCCTGGGTTTGAATCCCGTTTGGAACAGGTTTTTGCTGAGTGGAGTTTGCATGTTCTGCCTGTGTCTGCGTAGATTTCCTCCAGGTGCTCCGGTTTCCCACACCACTAAAAACATGCACTAATAAGGTCAACCCTCCAACTCTGGTCCTGACCAAACCGAGCATCAACATCTGGAGATGGTTCCCGGGAGCTGTTACTACGGCGACCAATGCTCCTGACGGATCTGAGTCAAATGCAGAAGAACATTTTTCCTACGGGGACAATAAAGTGTACATTTTACAACTGCTCCACCTCGTTTAGTTCTTCTTCAGATGTGTCCCAATTCAAACACATAAATAATCTAAACTAAACTCGAGCGCTACCGCAGGGTCTTTATCCCCAGCGCTGTCAGACTGTACAACAAGGCACTTTAAGTCACTGCATTAAGACTGAAAAATCTGCACTAGTATTGACACTGTTTCTTGATTGCCACTTTTTAATTTGCCACTTTATTGTACATAACATATCCTGCATTCACCATTTAACAATCTTGAGTGATTCTATCCGTGCCAAATGTGACGTGTACATTTCTCCATCAGAGATCAATGAAGTATCTTATCTCACAGAATCCTCTCTTCTTCTCCTGTTGCGTGTTGGCAGCCGTTTGTGCGGGCCCCACGCTGCTCCTGGATATGGCTCACCGCGGCGCCTGTATCTTGGCACATGGCCGTTGCCCCCGGCGACGGCGGCGTGGCGAGCAGAGAGCTGACGCGTGTAACGACATGTCACATGTTAGGAACACGCCAGAGCTGAGAGCGTGACGACCCCCGCTGCTTTCCACTGCTCAAAGGAACCTCTTTAAGACTCTTTATCTGTGATTATGAGACGGGACTGACTTGGACTGAAATGAACCGGTCGCAGCTGAAATAATTGAATTAAAGTATTTTGACTTTTATGTGAGTTTCATCAATCAATCAATCAATCAACGTTTATTTGTAGAGCGCCTTTCCTACACAAGGCAACGCAAAGCGCTTCACATCCCCTATCACATCATGCATAAATCAAACACATTAAGAGCACAAGATATATTAAAAACATTAAAAATAAAATCACAAAAATTAAAAACCTTTAAACATTAAAATCACAGATGGGACTAAAATCATAAATAGTCACAGTGCATTAAAAAGATTAAAGATAAAAACAAAGATGAAAAGATAAAATCATTCAGTTGTATATGCGCAGCTAAACAGAATTGTTTTGAGCCTAGATTTAAAAGATGCCAGAGTAGACGCCTGTCTCACATTCTCAGGAAGACGGTTCCAGACTCTAGCCGCATGAATCTGAAATGCAGTTTGCCCATGTCTAGTACCGACTCTGGGCACTAACAGGAGTCCAGTCCCTGTGCTCCTCAGAGTCCGGGTCGGTTCATATGGCACAAACATGTCATGGATGTACCTTGGCGCGAGACCATGGAGAGACTTGTACACAAGTAAAGCTGCTTTGAAGTCTATTCTCTGAGGAACAGGAAGCCAGTGCAGAGACCTGAGAACTGGACTAATGTGGTCGTACTTCCTAGTTCTGGTCAGGACTCGAGCTGCTGCATGTTGAATGTACTGCAGCTGTTTTACAGCCTGTTTGGACAGACCTGTGAGCAGGCCATTGCAATAGTCTAACTGACTGGAGACAAAAGCGTGTATAAGAGTCTCCAAGTCTGCCTTAGACACTATGTTTTTAATTTTAGCAATGTTTTTTAGGTGGTAATAAGCTGCTGATGTTACAGATTTTATGTGGCTTTTGAAATTTAAGTCTGAGTCCATTATCACTCCTAGATTTCTGACCTGATTTGAGGGTTGTAGAGAGAGAGCCTGGAGGTGACAAATAACGCTCTCTCTTTGTTTCTGGGGTCCGAAAACAATTATTTCAGTTTTGTCGGTGTTTAGTTGGAGAAAGTTATTTTGCATCCAATCACCGATTTGCTGGACACAGTGAAGGAGCGAGTCCACTGGTTCATGCTCTCCTGCTGTCAGGGACACATAGACCTGAGTATCGTCAGCGTAATTGTGATAAGAGACATTATTACTGTGAATCAACTGACCTAGAGGCAACATGTAAATATTAAACAGAAGAGGACCCAGGATTGACCCCTGTGGCACTCTGCAGGTCAGGGCCAAGTGGTCTGAGGTACAGTTTTCGATCTCCACAAAAAACTTTCTGTCTTGTAAATAGGACCTAAACCAGCTTAGGGCGGTGCCAGCAACACCAACCCAGTCCTCAAGTCTCTGAATGAGGATGCCATGATCAATAGTGTCAAAAGCAGCACTTAAATCTAACAGAAAAAGGACTGAGACTTTTCCTGCGTCAGTGTTTAGTTTGATGTCATTTGTTACCTTTATTAGCGCGGTCTCAGTGCTGTGGTGGGGTCTAAACCCTGACTGGAACATATCATAAGCGTTATTGATTATTAAAAATTCTGTAAGTTGTTTATAGGCAACTTTTTCTAGAATTTTTCCCATGAAAGGCAGATTTGAAATGGGCCGATAATTTTTGAGTGCCAGGGCTTCCAGACTCCTCTTTTTTAGGAGGGGCCTGATGACCGCCGTTTTCAAGGCCATTGGGAATGTTCCAGATTCAAGAGACATATTAACTATTTGTGTAAGTGAAGGTAAAAGACTGCTCAGAACTGACTTGAGAAATCTAGGAGGTAATACATCCAGGCTGCATGTGGAGGAACTCAGACTAGTGATTATCTCCTGGACAGTTTCGATTTGTACTGGTGTAAAGTGCGTCAGCCCAAAAAGCCTCACTGGCGGTTGGATTATTATTTCTATCGTGGAGGTGATGGCGTTTTTGATACCTTGGACTTTGTCATTAAAGAACTGAGCAAACTCATTACATTTAGATTTGGAAGTAAGTTCTGATGGCATCTTAACAGGGGGATTCGTCAATCTATTTACTGTTGAAAACAGACCACGTAGATTGTTGCTACAGCCTTCAATAGTTTCAGAAAAGTACATTTCCCTCGTTCTACGTAGTTCCCTGTTAAAATTGCACAACGCATCTTTGAAGATCTCATGGTCAACTTTGAGATTTGACTTTCGCCACTTCCGCTCGGCCTTCCGGCACTCTCTCTTCTGTGCCCTGACCGAGTCTGCTTTAGTCCATGGCGCTTTTTGCTTGTTTGTAACTATTTTAACCTTTACAGGAGCAATTGTATCCAGAACATTCAAAGCAGTGGTGGTGACAGAATCAAGTAATTCATCTACAGTAACACACAACGTGTTCTCAAAGTTTACCCTCCCCATGAACAGTTCGCCTGTATTATCATTTATGTGTCTTCTTCTAACAACCGAAGATTCAGCTGGTGGTTTACAATCAAGACACATGTCAAAAAATACACAGAAATGATCAGACAGAGCAACATTGACCACATTTACATTTGAAATATTAACCCCCTTGGTAATTAACAGATCGAGAGTGTGTCCTCTGCTGTGGGTGGGGCCACTCACATGCTGAGTGAGACCAAAGGTTTCCAGCACAGAGCTCAGCTCTATTGCATATCTATCATTAGCATTATCTACATGTATATTGAAATCACCTACAATGACCAAACCATCAAAATCTGTGCACACAACTGAAAGCAACTCAGTGAAATGATCAGTGAAACTATGGCATGACTGTGGCGGCTTGTACACAACAATAATAAGAATGGAAGAAGATTTCTTTTGTTCTATTTTAAAAGAAACATACTCAAATGATGAAAAATTCCCCAGGAGACACTCTATGGGAGACAATACGATCTTTAAAAACTGCTGCTATGCCCCCCCCCCCTTTTATTTTCTCGTGTTTCATGTTCAAATTTGAAATTTGGTGGTGAGGCTTCTATTAAAACTGCATCTCCTGTATTGTGGTCAAGCCATGTTTCAGTCATAAACATAAAATCAAGATCATACGAACAGATAAAATTATTAATTAAAAATGATTTGTTGCATAGTGATCTGACATTAAGTAGAGCAAGGTTAAAATTAATATCAGTGTCAATGGGTTTAGTTGATTGATTACAAAGAACTGGAATTAGATTTCCAGAGTTGGACCGTCTAACTGCTGTCCTTCTTTTAAATTTGTGTTTATTCAAGTTAAAACACATTTCTGAGCTGGTGCGAGAAACACACACAGTCTCTATTGGTTTAAAAAGTGAACTCTGTTGTACTTTGTTAAGTTCCAGATGCATAACTGAGTCAGCACAGTTCAGTGGCAGGACTGTCGTTACACTGCCAGACGGACAGGGGTCAGTGTTTGCACCACAGTACTCACCCGGTGCTGGTAAGGAGGAGGAGGAGGAGAGGGGTGGTGGGGGCCGAGAAGCCTCGGATGTAAACAGTCACGCCCCCCTCGGGGAGCACTGAACAACATGGCGTAGGAAGTCCGTCAACAAACTGGTGCCGTATCTGTTCGGGTGCAGACCATCTGGACCATAGGCCACGTGACGCTTCCAGAACAGGCCAAAGTTGTTCACAAAAATAAAGTTAAAAGTGCTGCATGTAGACTGGAGCCACATGTTGAGCGCCACAACGCGACTGTACAAGCAGTCTCCCCGGTTTACAGTTCATTCATATTTTCTGGTTATTTTTCTAAAAACAAAATGTGTTAATTGTTTAGATAATAGTAATTATAATGCATCTGTTTTATGGAGCGCTTTTTTGGACACTCAACGCTTCACACGCCATTATTCTTTCACAGTGGTGATGAACTGTAGCCACAGCTGCCCTGGGGCACACTGACAGAAGCGAGGCCACCAGTCTGTGCCATCGGCCCCTCCCACCACCACCAACCATTCACACACACACCAGACTCATTCTAATGTGGGGGAAGACACAACCACAGTTGGGCACTTACCAGCCGCAAAAAATCCAAACTGGACCAAAGTTAATTTATATTTAACTATTTAACTTCAAATTTGTTTTGAGAAAATATTATATGTGGTTGTTTTGCTGAGAAAATACTGTAGATGATGTAAAACCCATAACATCAATGCTGCAAAAAAAAATGAAATGAAAAATGAAAAAAAAAAAAAATGAAATTGAATTATTAAATTAGATGTATTTAGATTACAATTCTTGCTTGTCCTGAACCAAAGCTGGACTCATGTTTTTGATGAATTAATGTGAAGTATAACATGCCATTGTCACACTCATGAAGTTCCAACCTTCTTTGGGATTGATTCAAAAAGCTTCATTTTGTCTTGTGTTAAAATGCTTTTTTAATTCTTTTGAAAGACTTGAATAGACAAAATAGGGGGAAGCCGTACAAAGGTTGTGGAAGCAAAAGGTCTGAGGGCCACATATAACCGTGAATCAGGCCGAAAGTGACCCTTGGGCCACACTTTTCCCAGGTCTGTTTTGGACAGACGAGGCACATATTTGCACCGGAAGTGATTATCGAATAAATGGATCTAAAATAGCTCAGTTTTTGAGGAAGAACAAAGTTGTAACGTGTGCAGAAAAGCCGGTTTTGCAAAATATATCTAATTTAAAGCTTATAAAAAGTTCCTATAGTAATGCATACGTGGACAAAGTCAACCTTATTCCTTTCATTTCCATTGATGAATCTTTCCAATTAGCAAAAGCCGCTCCTTGTCTTTGCAGCCTCTGAAATAACACTGCCCTGATTTGGAAACACCAACTTTGCATTTGATTTACACAATGTTTTTATCGTACACTCTGTGAATTATGAATGTGCAGTAGCCTAGTTTGGGCTCTCGCTGCGTTGCCAGGAGTGCTAAGAATTCCCACCTTTTGCTCCTAATTATTCCCTCTCTCAGTAT